GCAAGTTCCTTTTGTTCTTTGTTGACGAGCGGTCGAAATTATTCGAATTAAGTAGATTCCTTTTTTGTGTCCGAAAGTAGAGTCACGGGTCGCGGTTAGTTTTTTGTAAAACCATAGTGGTAAACGTAACGTGTGCTTCGGCCAGCCCTGCAGCACAACAGATAGAATATAATGCTTATGTAAGTAAATTGTTTTAAGTATTTAGTTTTTGTGTAGGCAGTAAAGACTACGGAATTGCGGAAGCAATACTAGAGTTGTTTTTGTTTGTTAAATAAATCATAGATATTTGTTTTACGCTTGTTTCAATTTTCTTGGGTGTATGAAAACTTACGATCATTCAAAGGTATTGATCTCTGAGAGAGAGAGATACTGCCAAAGGGAAGAGTCCCTGTAGGACAAACCCTTTCCCCGTCCTCTGAATCATCGTCAGGAAGTTAGGGTTCCTTAGGCTCATCCCGTCTGAACTTAACCCCCTAGCCATATGTTGTCTAGAGGCCAATTTAAATACAAATTGGGCCCCTCTATATAACTCGTGGTTACCGCTTAGAATGGACTTTAGGGTCAGTAAAAAAGGCCTATAATCTCACTCTTAACAATAATAAGGAAATATTGAGCGTAGATTCTGATAATTACAAAATCTTTATCTCTGAGTATGTAGGGGCACGCTTCAAAACATCATAGCATTTATTATTTACAACCAAATGTATCAAATCGGACAGACTCCGAAATCATTACTCTTATAGCGATTTTCGTCTTAATCCCCGCTGAAATTCTCATTTTGTTGAACATTGCTACCCCCTACTTTGGCGCGTCATAGAGCGGGAACTATTGGTCGCAGACAAAAACTATTGAGGTCAAAATTGTACAGGATTTTGTCCTATACATATTTCATTTAAATCTTTTTTTGATAGCACTTATCACAACGGCGCTGTTTTCCTAAAAGCGTCGCGACGCAGAGTTTTCATCCCTTCGCCCCTCGAGCTGCAACCACGCGAGGTCACAAACTTAGGTGTAGTATCAGGGGACCCATGTCTACCATCCCACCAAATTTCATTTCTTTTTGACCTTTTGCGAATAGACCCCCTTATTCTTTACCCACCGCTTGGACTAATATGGCCCACTTTCAAATTTCAGAACCTGCATATAAATGATTGAAATAATGGCATTTTAGCTCAGCATATGAACTTCCGCTAAAGCCCGATTATTCTTAAATAATAAGGACACCAACTGAATTAACAATAAACAGAACAAAAAAATATTAATTAAAATAAACCTATAGAAATAAAATATTAAGTGGGTAACTTTTGTAGTTCATTTTTCTCTCTTTAGTAATACAGGTGGAGTGTGACAAGTAATTATTTATTTTAAAAGAAGTTAATAATAGGGAGACATCTATTTGCAGATTCTAAAATGTGAAAATAAAGATGCGTTTGACACCTGACATTCCATATGTACAACAAATAATGTCTAGTTTTAAAAGAATCAATAATAAGTTAATGCTAGAAGAAAATGATACAAAATAATGCTGTTTTCTTTTTCTACTAAATATTGCAACAAATGTCATTTAGGTATAATAATTTAAATTAATTCTTTATGAACAAATAGTAAATGTCTTTTTAAAAGTGCATTAAATACAAATGATTTATCACAAAGGGTGCATTTGAAATTCTTTTCCATATTATTATGAACCCTTGAATGAAGTTTTAAATGATGGCTAGATGAAAATGATTTTTCACAAATATCACACTTGACGTTTTTAACATTGTTATTTTCCATATGAACTAAAGAATGTCTTTTTAAATTTCCTGCATTACCAAAAGTTTTATTGCAAATGGTGCATTTGAAAATGCCTCTATCTTCATGAGATACTGAATGTCTTTTTAAATTTGCACTAATTGCAAATGATTTATCACAAACGGTGCATTTGAAATTTTTTTCTTCCATATGGACCTCTGAATGATTTTTTAAATGATGAATAGTTGAAAATGTTTTTTCACAAATATCACACTTGATGGTCTTCTCTACTTCTGTGTGAACTACTGAATGTTGTACTAAATATTGGTTAGAGGAAAATGATTTATCACAAATGGTGCATTTGAAATGTTTCTCTTCGACAGTATGGACCTTTGAATGAAGTATTAAACCTCTTTTGGACGTGTAGGATTTTCCACAAATATCACACAATGACTTCTTTTCTACTTCCGTGTGAACTATTAAATGTTGCATTAAATTTACTTTGTATTTAAATGATTTATCACAATCAGTACATTTGAAATTCCTTTCATTAACATGAATTACTGAATGTTTTTTTAGGTAACGACGGTTCGAAAATGTTCTTTCACAATAATCACACTGATAAATTATTTTACCAGTGCAAATTCTTGAATGCATTTTTAAATGCCATTTTGAAGACAAAGATTTATCACAAATATCACATGTGTAATTATTTTTTCCAGTGTGAACTGCAGAATGATTTTTTAAATGTTCTTTTTGAGAAAACGATTTATCACAAACGTCGCATTTGAAATTGATTTCATCACTATGAACAATCATAATATGTTGACTGAGGGTGTAATTGCGAGAAAACGATTTGTCACAAATGGTGCAAGTGAAATTCTTTTCATCACGACTATGAACTGCTGAATGTCGTTCTAGTGTATGACTACTTGAACACGATTTGTTACATACTTTGCATATAAATTTCTTCTCCAAATCAATAGCAGCTTCACCGTTATCCAAATCTTTTTCTAATTTTATATAAATATATTCTATGTTATTAAACTCTTCTTTGAATTCATCGGTTTTTTCTTTTATACATTCTACTAATTTAGAATTGTAATCTAAATTAATATCTTCGTCATTGTTGTAATTATCCTGTTCTTGAAAATCGTAGTCTATTTCAGTTTTTATTTCGCATTTTATTTGTGTTTCTTCGTCAATTTTAAAATCCATATTGACACCAGTAAAATTTATTTAAATAAATTAAATTGTAGGTATGTCATCACGTTATAGAAAAATTAAAATTATTAATATTATTTTTCTGAAAGTTTTGGTTATAATAGTTTTGACACCAAATTTGACACTCTGACGTATGTCTTCCTCCATGTATATCTTCTGTTTTTCTAGTTACTATGGCCATTGTCATCAGACATTCAGCCAGCCTTTATCGTTTCGTGTGCGTTCGTTCCCTTAGAATATATATAGTCAGGAAGGAGGAATCCTAAACGACCTTGGCTTCACAATGGTATCTAATTTTGACAGTGAACTAGACGAATATGGCGACAAGTGTTTCCGGTCTACCAGTGACGTACTGTCATAAAGGGGCGTGAAAAGAAAATAAATTCTCATTTGCATATTATCTAAATTTACCAATTTCTGTTATTTAAACGAATTGCTATTTTCTTGCGAGAAGTTAGCATTTTTTTTATTAACCTTCATTATGTGAATAAATTGTACTTTAAAATTGCATGTTGGGTGGTATAAATATAGGAAAATATTTTTGGGATAATTTATAGAGGGATTTCATTTGAAAAATCAAAGCAATAATGTATTAAAAAAATATATTGACTTTTTTACGTCTTTATTATGACAATGTCTTTATTAATTACAAATTATTAAGGTTTAAAAAATAAATATGTTTTGTAGATATGCGTTAAAACAAATTAAATATCCTATACTTATATTTAGGTCAAACACCGCTGTGATATTTCTTTCTTAGATGTTTTTGTTGGAGTACATATAAAACTTCCTAATATCGAAGAGAATTTCTGATCATTTTATTACATATTATATTATTGGTAATATTATTTGCAGGACAATTTTGCATAAGCAGGTAAAACGCCTTTCCAAGAAAGGATCCTATAACGTAATAACGATTCTGAGTGCAAAATAGATTATTTTTAATTGTACATTCAACGCATTATTTGTATGCTTACTCCAGTTATGATGAGAGTCAATTTGTACTCTAAGGTATTTGATATAATTTGTAATACTTATATGAAACTACTGAACGTTACCTTTTATTGTTTCTACAGGAAGAGACCATATTTTTGTAAGTGTATAATGGAACAACATAAGTTTGATCAAAGGTTTGTAAGTTTTTATAATTAAACCATTAGAAAAATTTTATAAGATCGTTTCTTTTAATAATTTTAATCAATTCCAGTTCTCTGCATTTTACAGAATAACTGTGTCGTCTAAAAAACTTACAATATTTCCATCTGTATTTAAACGACAAATTGTTTAAAATAAAATTAAACAAGATAGGACCTAAGACAGTATCTTGAGGCATGCGCTATGCTACTTATTTCCTTACTTGAGATAATATTAATTCTATTTGTGATCGTTTTTGTAAATAACTTTGTTAGCAGATGCATTTACCATGTTTGTTTACAAATTTAAAACATTAAAAATCTTTAATGTGGTTGAAAATTGAGAGAACAAAATAATTGCTTATGAAATGTAGATTATTCCTTTCTACTTTTAACTGTGCTGCTGTATCCACAAGACGAACAACTGACCATATTGTCTTGTTTGTCTTTTAACGCGTAAAATTTAAAATTAACAGTAATACTAAATAAATACTAAAACACTAAACACTTTTTAAAAATGTCTACAAAACATACGCTTGATAAAAGTTTAAATTAACATATAAAACATCCAAATTATTAACAAATTTTAATCACTAAAATAATAAACCAATTTTAGAAACCACTTATCATATGATGATGAGTCATCCATAGTACAACATGGCTACCACTTCCGTTAGATCGATTAGATTAACCACTGATCTGTATTATTTTATACAGATCAGTGAGATTAACGCGGACATGGCATGCTCCTTCCTGACCAATGCTGCGTTTGAGAATCCACATCGGATGCATTTTTTACATCTCGAGCGTTTTTTTATTCACATCGGACACATCTGTCCCATTACATTTACGTATACTGAATCACGTGATCAAAGATTTTTTACATCTCAGATGCATCCGATGTGGATTCTCAAACGCAGCGTATATATGTTCTAAGTTCGTGCCTAATCTCTTTCTACTTCTTCTTTATTACGTTTGAGACTTGTATTTGTAATGTAGTTAACAAATATGTAAACCTTAACCTTTGTGACTTTAGTACTTACCGGTAGAAGGTTATTATCAAAAAAAAATCGAAGATTTTGGGCTGGGTTGGGATTCCTAGAAATATATTTGTTCAGTTAGTGCGCGTTTAACATAGAAATTTTAATATTTAATAAGTAATAATGTGGGGAATGGGAACAGGAAATTCGCTGGAAAGGTGTACAATACTTCTCTATAAAGAAGCGAAATTAAATTCTAAAGAAAGGGAATTTAAAAATTTAGCTAGCTCAATCGATCGTGTAAATCTCGTGTATAATTATGTAAAGAAGTTAAAAATATTTAAAGATATCATTGCTGAACCCCAGGATAGAAAATCAAATGAAGAATCAGAGATACAAAGACAAAAAGGCAACGATTACTTTCTACGCCATAAAAAATACTTGAGCTCATTAGAGAGCTATACTAAAAGTATTGCTTCTGCTGTAAGTGGCAGTTCTTATTTAGCTTTAGCATATGCTAACAGATCTGCATGTCTTTCTGAAGGAAAGTATTATAAGGAATGCATAGAGGTAAGATTTCATTTATTTTTATGATTTTTTCTTAGTTATTTCCTTTTATTCTAATCTAGTTATGCATCTTCCGGTATAAAATCATCTATAATGTCTCCTCTTCACATTGGCCGATTTTGTGGCCAGCAGACTATAATGAACATACTTTGTGTTTGTCACTTCTCTGTATACGTGTTGGCATTCCATATACAGTTATTTGCTTGGTCAACAGGACAGATTGTACCCCATTACTTGGAAACTCTCCATTACCTATCTCTTAATCTTTCGACTGTTTTATTTATCTACATAACCGAAACAGATTTTCAACACTACCGAATTTTGTGATCAATGCTCTGCTCTATTAGCTGACCATAAGTATTGGCTAATGTAAAGATGAGCCTTGACATAGAAGCTGTTTCTTTTCAATAACTATCCTTCTCTCTTTTGAGTATTTGTCTGACTACTTTCATTTGTTGGAATTGAGATATTTCGGCACTTTTGCAAAAGTTCTCTTCTACCATAATATGTTCCTTTTCCATTATCTGTACCTACTATCATGCACACTTTATCATATATGCTACATAAGCTGTAGGTATCTGATTATTTTGTTTTATGTCTAATTGTATTCCCAATATTTGGTGATCTGCAGTGTTCATGATAAAGAATATTTACTTCTAAAACACTTTTTCCTTTTATTTTGAAAAAATCTACTTGTCTTTTGTAATATTATTGCTTTTCATCAGTTAATTATAATAATCTAAAGTATTTCATAATTTCACAGGATATAGATAGAGCCTTATCATTAGATTATCCAGAACACTTAAAACCAAAATTACTAAGACGAAAAGCTGCAGCTGAATCTCAAAAATCTATTCAAAAAGAAGTCAAGTATTACAGTGACCCACCTGTCATCAAATCTAAAAATCCTCTAATTACCTGTGCAGAAGATTCTATAGAAATACAATACAACCAAAAATATGGTAGACACATTATTGCAACTCGAGACATAAAAATTGGAGAAGTTTTATCTGCAGAAAATTCTTTTTGTCATGTTATCCATCCAGAAAGCAAATATATACACTGTCATGAGTGTCTAGAGCTTTGTTTCAATATGATTCCTTGTGAGAACTGCAGTGGTGCATTGTATTGCAGTGAGGAATGTAGAAGCAAGTGTTATGAGGAGTATCATAAATATGAGTGTCAATTTCCTAAGGTCTTGCTGTCTCCTGAAATGGTGTTTATCAAATTAGCATTAATAGGTAAATATTGAAAACATTCTTATATTGATTTTGGCTAAGGTAAGAGTTGTGTATAAAAAGTTATATTTTGTTTGGGCAGAATTAAATTGTAAATATAAAGTTGAACATATATTATGTTTTTCTTCTTCAGTATTTTGGTCTATTTAAATAAATTTTCCGAATTCAAAGGTTCTATTACTTTATAATGACATATATTTACAAAATAATTCAATCCTTAGCACCACCATACCATTGTATAAAGAACTATAGTAGGATAATAGCCATGTAAAAGTTATTGGAGGCAATCGCGCCCGACATCTATTGGTACAATCATTGAACTAACGATTTTATTTACTGGTTAGATACGCCCTCTACGTCAGATGTTAGAACTTTATAAGTGACAATTCCGTCAAATTAATTGTCAGTATATATTTTTTTAGTTATTGAGATTAAATATAATTAAAAATTAGTGATTCTTGTAAAAAATCAATAAATAATAGCATTCCACAAGATATTCGTCTATATTTAGAAATAAACTGAGATTTTAATGAAACTAAAAGCAATCTGATTATCAGCATTAAAAAGTAAAACTTTTTTTCATAAGTCTGTATAACGAAAATTTAGAGTATTTGTCTATGAATCGAAGGGTTCTGAGTTCAAGCCCATGAGTAGACACTTTTTTTTATTTAATTTTATTTTCTAAATTGGTAAAACTTAAATTAATTTCAAAACATGAATTTTATGTTAATGACATCTAAATCTTCATGCTCACATTTCGTCTTTTTGCTATGGCCACTCGGGATCATCAAATTATATTAGAATATTATAAGGTCTGGTAATTTTATTTAAATCTTTTGACAATGAAACTAAAAAATCTGATGTGTCCAGCACATGACTTTCCTATCTAGTTATTACAGGCTTTTTCCGGTTATTTTGTACAACCTATTGCAGCACCTCTATAAATGTTTAGAGGATAAACTAAATATATACATTATCTACATACATCTACCTCGAAACTTTTTTCTATAGATATTCATTGAAAACGAAAATACTGAAAAATTTAAATTTAGCACTTTTCCTACAATTTATCCATTACGGTTCATTTTAGAAAAATCATGTATAAACAAAAATTAAAGAGATCGATATCGCAAACAACTTTTAGTTCAACAATTTTCATAAAAAAATCAGAATTTTGCACATTTTGTCAAATTTCTCGAATACGGGCCATTTCAGGAAATTTTTACATAAAACAAAAATTGTAGATAATAATATTAAAAGTAACTTTTATTTAAACAATTTTTTTCTCCAAACATAAATAACAGATATATTCCATAAAATATAAAAACGGCCTCCCATAAAGTACCCCCCAGATGTTCCGACTCTGGCCAAAATCTAATCAGTTCATTAGACGCTGGAATAAAGCTTAAGTTTAAAATTTGGTGTTTTTCTGTGTATCGGTTCATGAGTTATGAGACATACAGACACACACTCACACAGACACACACTCACACAGACACACACACACTCACACAGACACACACTCAGACACATACTCACACAGACGCACACTGACAGACACACACACACACACACACACACACAAACACACACAAACACACACACAGACACACACACAGACACACACACAATACACATACACACACACACAGAGACATCATTGCGAAAATAGTCAAAACGGATTCAGGGGACCTCAAAACGTAAAAATCCGTCGAAAACTCGAGGTCGAAAAAAATCATGATTCCTATACTTTCCTTATATCTGTATACAGATAGGAAAGTAAAAACAGGAATGAATTAAATTTAACACACAGCGCTGGTAAGATGAAACGTTAGGTCCTACTTATAGCTTGTGTCGACAATATATTTTGTAAATCCCGATGGCGTGAGATTTAGTAAATAATTTGATCATGCTCAGTAACATCTAGCATACTATCGAAAATTTCTGATAAATCAAGAGCTCTACACTCTCTTGACGATTCGTTGATTTGACGAAGAGGACATTTTAAAATTCGAAGCCTTTCTAGGAGAATACAATTTCCACGAAAACTTCAACATGTATCTACTACTTATTTTTAAACTTAAAAGAACTCATTTTTCTCAAGAGTTTCATGTGAAATGTTATATGTCAACGTGAAAATAGTATTGTTAAAGCCAATGAGAATTCAAATTCTTGGGAGAATTTTAATCTTCTCGAAATAAATCAAAAGAAACAGTCTGCGAGTTTTCACTGGCTTTAAAAATACTGTTTTTACGATGACGTATGACATTTCTCATGAAAATATTTCTCTTAAAAGACAAATGCTTTTTATAATAAAACTGAAGTACATTTCTAGAATTTATGCTAACAAAGAGAATATTTATGATTATTTTAAATCTAATTTTTGCACCAACTTCAGAAAATTCTCTCATTTTTAATTAATCTTTATAAAACCCTAATATGGTTACAATACTCTCACTCAAAGCACAATTAATATCTTATATGCGGCACTGCACATTGTTTACTATGTTGTATATTGTGGGATGTTATTTCTGATAATTTCTTCATATTAATATCTATTATGTTACTACAAATACGTTGAGCACAAACAATCAATGTTTAACTTTTAATATGTACAATATATTTAGTTTGCAAACGACATAAAAATAGAAAAAACGTTGATTGAAACCACGACTAACTGTTTGAAGGATTCGTCTACACAATATGGCGGACGTGAACCCGTTTTGGACCACGTGACAGCGTCTCGCTACCTTCTACATCCATGGGTATTCATTATTTAAAAGAGTTAATTATTCTAATTCAAAGGCATTAAAGGTTTCTAAGAATAGCTATACATTAAAAAGATTTAAAAAAATTAAGAGCTTTTATTAAAATAAACAAAATTTAATTGTAACTTCTTTTTTACACGTTGTGTATGCGGTTTTTAAAATTACTTCTATAACTCGCAGTAAATGCTAATATTGAAACAATTTTTACAGGTATGGATGATTCTAAAAAAGTAGAAGCCGAGTTACCTGACAATATTCACAGATCTGATTCCTTTAAAGAAATTATAAAATTAGAAATGAATGAAGAAAATCGGAATTACATCAACCTATGCATCCCAGCAATTGCAGCATCTATAGCTTACCAGGCTCTTAAAGAAAACCCAGAATTCACTTCAAAGTATGATACAGATGAGGACGATCATAATTTAAAGAAACTGCTTTATAAAGCTTATATGATTAATGCTTTTAATCCATTCAACATTAAAAAAATTCGTTATACTCCATTTGATATTGAATCTACAAGAGTCGGGACTGCTTTATATGCTTTTACTAGTTTATACAATCATTCTTGTGTGCCTAATTGCGAATTTTTCCATTATGGGTCTTTGATAGTAACAAGGGCACAAGCTCCTATAAAAAAGGGAGAGCAAGTTACTATTTCTTATGGGTAAGTTAAAATTTAAATATATACTTATTTATTTTTATTTTAATTATTTTATTTTTGTTCTACCTATTTAGTTGTTATAACAAAAAAAATGTATAGTATAAACAAAACATGAATAGGATATAAAAATCTTTGAGGAAAAATTAGAATGTAAAAGTAAGATCTTTAGTAAATATATTAATTTCATTTATAGAAGATCGTTCAGCATGACACCAAAAGAAACTCGACAAGCAATACTCAAGAAAAACTATCTCTTTGATTGCGATTGCAAAGCTTGCACCAATTACTGGCCTACCATGTGGTACTTGCCGCCTGGCAAAGATCTCCCTCAATCGTTCTTACGAAAACTTTCTCAAAACACTTTCGATGGCAGCGAAGCGAATCAGAAACTGGTAGACGAACTTTTAACAGAAGGCAAGAGATTGTATTATCAGTTGGAAAGGTATGAGCCTTGTCAGAATTTATTGACACTGCAAAATATGATCACGGAAATTTATACTTACCAGGCGAGCAAGGATGTAGAGTTTTAAAAATCTTTATTCAGTAACAGTTATTATAATTATGTGTGTTTTAACTTTTTTTTATATTTTGTTTTAAATATTGCAGCCATTTTTAAATTGTAGGATATCTGAAGCGCAGATATTTTAATGCTATCCACCTTATTTTTTGTATTTGAAATACATGATGTCCCGTAAATATATCGACAATAAATGTCGATAACGCTTAATTTCCGAAATATAGCGATTTTTATACAAAAATAACATCGTCCAGTAAATATATGCGATTTTTAACATTGTGTCGAATAAAGCAACTAAAAATACAACTTTTTTGTTCCATGCTATTTTTGTGTACCTATCTCTTTTCGTTTTCGAGAAAAATATTAATATCCAAAGTTTCTCACATCTCTGAAATAAAAATACAACTCATAACAAAAAAAAGCGAGATAGGAAAAAAACTCTGGAACAAATTTTGTATTTTTAGTTACTTTATCAAAAACACTAAAAATTTCTTTTTTTTAGCATAAAAGTAAGACTGGAAATTTTGGATAAACGCGAATAAATTCAAAAGATACTTCGAGATAAACTGATAATTTAATTGAAATCGGTTAAAACGTTTTCAAGATACTGATTAAAAATAGTTTATTTTTCTTTTTATCTTTACCTCGAAAACGAAGAGATATCAGACATGTTTATTATGATGTCCTCTATCGCTCTTAAAAGTTTGTCGGTGTATTTAGTAGTATTGAAGCGTCCATCTGGAAACGATGCATATTAAAGTATATTTTACTTGTATCTTTTATCTATTACCAGAAAGATGTATACACAAAAAAGTGCAAAATAAAAGGAAAATAACGTCACAGTGCTAACTTCGTTACATTGTATCTGAAACACTTTGGTAATATTCAAATATTTTTTTCATATACAGGGTGTTTCATTAAGAATGGGACACAAAACAACTGAAGATTATCTGTGTTTTATTCTTAAGTAAACACCCTGTATGTATATGAGAAAAATATTCGATATTTAATTTTGTTTATGAATAAACATTTTTACTAAAGTTGAGTATGTCTTACAAAGGATTTTTTTATAGCTTCTATATAAGCATTTACAAAATATTTTTAAAATGGCTGTTTCATAAAATCTCATAAAAATGCATGTTATTTGTTTTAAGTTCTCAATCACATAAAGTGTCCCTAAAAATAGTGCGTTCCTATCAAATATGGATCCAGTTTTTTTATTTAGAATCAAAGATTATCATCTTTGAAAAGTTAATAATTGGTAGGAAAAATTTGGATAACTTAATAGCTGACAAAACTACTCGAGGAATTTTTGACTAAATTGAAGTAAAATTATGTAAATTTAAAAATAGGAAAACCATGTTTGTACGTCTGGAAAGAGTATTAATAGTTTATTTTCTAAGAAATTCGTTATTAATTCAAAAATTATAGAAATGCTTTATTTTTTGAGACACTATTTTATTTTGAGACTAATTTATTAGTGTTAATATATGTTTTATTAATGTATGTTTTTTTTTTTTAATTTTAACATATAATCGTTGCTATTTAGTTTACTGTTTCGAAATTATTTTAAGTTAACCTTTTTGGAGAAACTGAATTTTATGTTTTTTAGAGTTAAGTTAAAAACGTTTTATTAAACTTATTATAAACATATTTTTATAGGATTTCATTTTGTTCTAAAATTAAATGTAATAAACTTTAATTTTGTTTCATTTTTGTTTATTTACAAGTTGTATAAGATACCTCTCGAAATTTTAAGTTTTTTTCTCTATCCCTTTTTGAGTTATCTTCAAAATTCGAAATTAGCACTTTTCTCAAATATCTCGAATACGACTCATTTTATAAAAATTATGTATAGAACAATTTTTTTAAAAATCGAATTTTGCAATTTTTGACAATTTTCTCGAATACAGACCATTTTAGAAAAATTATTTATAGAACAAAAATAACATTATAAGTAACTTTTTTCTACACCCGTATTATAATAATGCACTTATATGCCCATAATCCGTTTCATAATGATACCCATTATGATACAGATTTTTCATTACGATACAGATTTTTAATCAATAGAAACCTACAATTTTTCAATCAAGCATGCTGTTTGACGTTTGTCCTAGGTTCCTATGTAATTATTTTAGTTGTCAAAACGTATTAAATTTTCGTAGGTAGCTAAACTTCGATAATTATAATATTAAAATGTCTGATATTAGCGATATAGAAGACTCCTCCACACATATCGGAGAAAGCAGAAAATACAGTACACAATATTTTACCGCAAAAATCTAGGGAAATACCAATACCTGAAGTAATACCATTAATTACAATTTTGTAGAATTTTTTATAGAAATACGAGTAATTACTGTTATTGTGTTCAATACCAATATAAATATAATATTTATAGGTCTTGATTATTTATCGGGTGTAGAAAAAATAGCGTATGCAACTCTCATGTAATGGTTATTAAAACACTCGCATAAACCATACGAAACTCGCCTTTGGCTCGTTTCGTATCCCGGTTAATGCTCGTGTATTAATAACCATCATTACATGATCGTTGCATAATATACTATTATTTGAAGAATTTTTTTCTCCTAGCATAAATAAGATATATTCCATAAAGTAGAGAAACGACTCCCTATAAAGTACCGCCACAGATGTCTCGACTGTGCCCAAAATTTAACTACTTCACCGCAGGATGAATTAAAGTTTAAATTTAAAATTTGGTGTTTTCTCTTTAACCCTTTCTGAGTTATCCTTAAAATTCGCATTTATTTGAAGTATTTTCTTAAAAATTCGAATTTTCGAAAAAAATAAAAAACCAATTCTTAACAAATAATTTAAAATATTTTTTCTACAAAGGTCGGTGAAAATATAATTTTTAACGCATGCTGTCAGTGTCTAAAATGCCATTTTATGACACTGGTGTTAAAAGTAAATCACCATTTCAAGAAACGATCGTACTGTTGCTTTGACTTACTAGGCAATAATTCAAAAGCAGCTTTATTGACAGCTTCTTTAATTTGCCAAAAATACCAAGCCAGGTACAAGTGAAGCGAACAAAGATCTTACTAGAAAGACTTCCATGTCACCGATTGTCATTGAAGGCAGGACTGACAATCACAATTCACTAAAAAAGGATCTCCAGAATATTGTAAATGGTAGATACACCCTAAAATATACAAACAACTCCACGATAATATACGTCGATAAACAACAAGATTATAAAGAACTAATAAGCAGTGTAAAAGAATCCAAAATCTCCTATCACACACACTTACACTAGCAGAAATGAGAAATCCCATGCATTCGTGCTAAGGGGATTAACAACGGGAATCACCACCGAACAGACAGAGGAAGATCTCATGCATTCCTATGACATTAAGGCAAGAGAAATCTACAAAATGTCAACGAAAAATAGACCCCTATTCCTTATAATAACAGACCCGGCAATCACCCTGGACTTCCTCAATAAGCACATCAGGGTGGTAGAAAACACCCGAGTTGTTTGGGAGCTAAGGAAATCTACCAAAAGCATAATACAGTGCCACAATTGCCAGGCATGGGACCATGCCAAACTGCGGACACCCTCCGAAATGCGCAGAGAACCACCACACGCGAACCTGCGTGAAAACCCGCGAAACGCCGGCCACCTGCGTAAATTGCCTAGGGGATCATCCGGCTAATTACTCAAAGTGTACGGCCTACCTAGAAAGGGTAGACAGAATGGAAGAGAGGAAGAAGCAGCAACAGCCTCGAAGATATGCGCAGGCTCCAATCCCAGAAGGGACCGCCTGGGAAAAGAAACAGTCTAGCGCTACCAGGCTAAATCAAGAGGAATTTCCCCCCCTACCCTCATGAAGACCACCCCAACAAAACAACCAGCTACCTACGAGACAACAACAAAGCAGATCTACCGCGAATAATGCAGAACAAGGAACCATGGATGACATGTTCGCCCTTAATGATGAATTCAATATACTTAATAGCCTTGTTAATATTTCAGAACTCACCCGAGCTGTTAGGGACCTCAACAACTCCCTAAGACAATGCAGAGACGAACGAGACGTATTTACCACATACAATAACTTTGTAATAAATCTAAACTCATATAAATTTAGGAATTAAATTCAATCCGGCAAACTACAATGACAAACTCAGAATTTAAGTTAAGCAAACTCGGCTTAGTAACGAACTTCATTCACAAGCATAAGTTTGACATCATCATACTTACGGAGACTAACCTAAAACAAACGGACAAAATTAAAATCAGATTACAATATCATAAGACAAGACAGAGAAGGACAAGCCAGACACAACGTACGACAAATGGCAGCGGGAGGGGTTGCTATAATTGTCAAAAACAATCTCGAATTCGCGCATCTGCCGAACCTTAATATTTCACAACATGTAGAACATGCAATAATTAAATGCCATAATACCATCTTCATAGGAGTGTACAACCCCCCGGCAAGGAAAATTTCAAACGCCGACATGCATGCGCTAATGTCTAAAGGTAACAAGAGTTTTTCTAGCTGGGGTCTTGAATTGCAAACATCCCGAGTGGGACGCGAACTGTATCCACGCAAACCCTGCAGGTAATTTGTTGAGAGACTTCGCCGAAGACAACGAGCTAATCCACTACACGGACGAACCTACATGCACACCCTTCAACGGGGGCACCCCAAGTACACTGGACATTGCAGTCACTAAAAACATAACTGACGTACAAAATATAAGAAAATTAGTACACTAAACTCAGATCACGATATCCAGTGTACTTGGAAATACGAACGACACATAAATTAACAGAAGACAAAAACAATACTTCGATTACAAGACAACAAATTGGAACAAATACAGACAAAAAATTTAATAAACAACAACATAAACAACACACAACTTCTAGAACAAAAAACACGAGAATTCATAACAGTCGTACAAAAAGCTAGAGACGACTCGACAAAAATTAAAACTACTCCACCACACAGACACGCTGCCACCCGAAATTACTGACCCCATTACAAACAAAAATCAAATACGGAAAAGGTGGCAGCTACACAGGAAAGATGAAGACAGGGTGAGACTAATGGACATCGCTAAACACATTAACAAACAGATAAACGAACATCGCAACAATATTTGGCAAAAAACCTTGTCCGAAATTAACCCGAAGGACAACTCACTGTGGGGGGTTATGAAAAGGTACAAAAAGCCCTTCTCACAACTTCCTACTTTGAAACTAGGACAAAATACACTACTCACAACAGACAACGAGAAAGCTCAAGCCTTCGGCGAGCACTTTCAAACAAACTTCCGCAATGATCAAATAAACAACGACCATCAGAATCAAATAGAACAAATTTTAAATGAATTGGGGGCGATGGATCCGGTACACGTGCCACACTCTTTCTACACCTCCCCTAAGGAGATCGGGGAAACAATCAAGTTCCTCAAAAATAGGAAAGCTCCGGGCCCGGACGACATTAGCAACATCCTAATTAAAAATCTACCTAAAAAGGGGTTGTACAACTACATTACATAGTAAATGCAACTTTCAGGCTGCAACATTATCCTAGTTGCCTGAAAATTGCAAATATTATACCCATTCTAAAAGCGGGTAAAAATCACAACAGAATAGACAGTTATAGACCCATCTCGCTATTAAACACAATTTCAAAAATAGTAGACAAAATCATATTAAATAGATTAAACAAAATAGAGGAACAACTACAAATTATCCCACAGGAACAGTACGTGTTCAGATGTGGACACAGCACTGTTGCACAAATCGTAAGAATTGTTCATAGTGCCAAAGAGGCGTCAAATTTCAACAAACAAACGGTGCTTGTGGCGCTTGATAGCGAAAAAGCTTTTGACTCCGTCTGGACCTGTGGTTTAATTCATAAAATGCTTGTGAATGATTTTCCCGTTCACGTTGTAAAAATAATACATTCATATATAACTGACAGACGCTTCAACATTAAAATAAACAGTACAATCACAGGACCCTACTCTGCGCTGGCGGGAGTACCCCAGGGCTCAGTATTGTCGCCTCACTTGTACTCGATTATGACCCATGACATACCTATGGGCCGTAATGGTGTACAAACGACACTATACGCCGATGACATCTGTCTTTTCAAAAGCAACCATTCTGCTGAGAGTGCAACAAGAACACTGGACATCCATATAAACAGGAGACTAATACCCTATCTAACTAAAAACAAAATGAAAATCAACCCCGCAAAAACGGAAAGCATGCTCATAACGAAGAGAAGATCTAGGGGCATTCATATTCCCCTAAAAATCGGTGATCAAAACATACATACAGGTGATAGAATGAAATACCTGGGTTTTCAGTTAGTTAGGGGATTAACATTCGATCTTCATGTTAAAGACAGGGTGGCGAAAAACCACATTGCAATCAAGACGCTCTACCCTATATTAAATAGGAGAAGCAGAGTCACCCTGTCAAATAAACTATTAATCTTCAAGTCAATCCTGAGACCAATCTTGACTTATGGATGTCCGGTGTTTTGTTCCATGGCAAACACTCATTTTTCGAAACTACAAGTAGCCCAAAACAGATGTCTTCGGCTAGCTCTGGGATACGAATAGCCGACATGCACAGACAGACGAAGACTCCACTCATCAAAGACTACATACTAAATACAGCCGAAAAGTTCTACAAGCGGTGCCTTCCCGATAATGTGAGAGATGATATCTTTAACATATATCGGGGGGACAACGTGCGTAGAAAACACGGCTGCATCCACGCAAAACTCGACATCTACCAACGCAGACAGCAACATCCTACCTAACGCTCCCAGACATACTAAATAATATCTCACACCGACTAGATATTTACACAAACTAGTCGGACGGCAACTGATCGGTGGATCGGCCATCGAGGCAACAAACGCGAAACTTTACATTCGCGAGTGCTGCTTCGATGGAAGGTGCAAAGATCACTCTGCCTGTGGGATATAGTAAAAAACAATAGACTATACAAACGCACACACAAGGACAACCCTGTTTTTTCTAGCTTTTTCAGGGAACAAAAATCAACTAAAACACAACATATCCTTACTTATTTCCCATTACCGATACCAAAACAAACCCCAATTCCTCAATAATCCCGTAACGGTAAGGAGTGAGGGCTGTAACGTTGCAAATTAAAATCAAAAATAGTTATTATTGGCGGACTTGTCTTCCATGGTCTCCTGGACCCGCACGAAAAGAGAAATCTCGGTAGTGTTGTAAATATTAATTATTTTTTGATATGTAGATAAAGACTTAATATGTAAATAAATTGATGTTATACTGTTTTTATCAATTAATTAATGTAAAATAGATATGCATTAATTTTGACTTTTAATGGTGTTTGTAGAAAAAATAGTGTATGATATACGTGCTAAAAGTGATTTTATTTTGTTTAAAGGGACTTCCCTTCTCACAAAATAAAATATCACTTTTAGCACTAATATCACAAATAACTATTTCTTATGCATAACCCTGTATATATTATACAAATAATATCAAACTGAATAAAATCAAAATTAAATAGAATTTACAGAAAAATTAATAACTTATGCCAACCCTGGCCTGTTAACCTTCAAAATATTTACAAATAGACCACATTATTTTCAAAACAATCCTGTTATTTTATTCCCTTGTTTAAGCACAAAAAAAATCAGTCAGTTTTAAAGGCAAATGTCTGTAATTTGCAATTTCGGCCATTTTAAACTGCATGTATCTCATCTCGGTCTACACGTGATACAGGGATGCCACCTCTGTACAGGTTTCACCCGGACTGTCCCGGTTTTGATCAATTTGTCCGGAGTCCGGACGCATGATGAAAATGTCCGGGACTATCTGGATAACTTTTTTAGAAGCTCGACAGAAGGACCTGGTTCCTGGTTTATAAAATTATAAGCTGAGGCCTTTTTTACTTTCCTATCTGTATACAGATATAAGGAAAGTATAGGAATCATGATTTTTTTCGACCTCGAGTTTTCGACGGATTTTTAGGTTTTGAGGTTCCCTGAATCCGTTTTGACTATTTTCGCGATGATGTCTGTGTGTCGCATAACTCATAAACCGATACACAGAAAAACACCAAATTTTAAACTTAAGCTTTGTTCCAGCGTCCAATGAACTGATTAGATTTTGAGCAAAGTCGGAACATCTGGTGGGTACTTTATAGGTGATCATTTTTATATTTTATGGAATATATATGTTATTTACGTTTGGGGAAGAAAATTCTTCAAATAGAAGTTACTTCTTATAATATTATCTATAATTTTTGTTGTATACAAAATTTTCCTAAAATGGTCCGTATTCAAGAAATTTGACAAAATGTAAAAAAATAATTTTTAATAAAAATTGTTTAAATAAAAGTTGTTTGTAATATAATTCTCTATAATTTTTATGACATACATAATTTCTCTAAAATGGACCGTATTCGAGATATTTGAGAAAATGTGTAAATTTCGAATTTGAAGAAAACTCAAAAACGGATAAAGAAAAAAACATTAAATTTTAAACTTAAGTTTTATTTCGGCCTGACGTAAAATTATTAGATTTTGGACAAAGTCGGAACATCTGGGGGGGGGTACTTTATGGTAGGCCGTTTTTATATTTTATGGAATATGGGGTCTATTCTGTAACAATTCCTTTATATTTAACGGCCTTTAAAAATATGTTCGTATTCGTTAATTTACTTCTGTCATTATTTAAACAGATTTCTTTAAGATAGTCCTCTAATGTTTTTTAAAAATCCGTTTAAATAATGACAGAAGTAAAGAAGAAAATATTTTTAAAGGCCGTTAAATATAAAGGAATTGTTACAGAATAGACCCCAGTATCTGTTATTTATGTTTGGAGAAAAAAATTGTTCAAATAAAAGTTACTTGTAATAATATTATCTATAATTTTTGCTCTATGTAAAAATTTCCTGAAATGGTCCGTATTCGAGAAATTTGACAAAATGTGCAAAATTCTGATTTTTATGAAAATTGTTGAAATAAAAGTTGTTTGCGATATCGATCTCTATAATTTTTGTTTATACATGATTTTTCTAAAATGGACCGTAATAGAAAAATTGTAGGAAAAGTGCTAAATTAAAATTTTTCAGTATTTTCGTTTTCAATGAATATCTATAGAAAAATGTTTCGAGGTAGATGTATGTGGAAAATGTATATATTTAGTTTATCCTCCTCTAAACATTTATAGAGGTGCTGCAATAGGTTGTACAAAATAACCGGAAAAAGCCTGTAATAATTAGATAGGAAAGTCATGTGTTGGACACATCAGATTTTTTTAGAAATTAAGAAACAAAGGTCCGGGTTTTGAGAAATGAAAAGGTGGCAACCCTAACATGATATGATAATATATATGAAATTAATTTGAAAAAAGAAAACATCTTGGGAAACATCTTGGGAAACAAAATATGAATAAATATACCTATAATAGCTTGGGGTTTGAATTAACAATTCAATTATTAAATACAAAATATTAAACTTTATTAATAAATAACTTTTTATAACATATTTCTTTAAAATTATTAAAAATCTAAACCACCAGGCAAAGTTCCCTCTTTTTTGGCTTTATTAAAATTCCTATAGAAATCTGAAAAATCCACATAAGCTTCTATTTTTTGGTCAGGCCCAATACCGTCATCCTCTTTGTTTTCTTGACTACTGGAAGTATCGCTTGTCTTATTAGTAGCAGTACTGCTAACCGTACTACTATGAACAGTACTGGACCGATTGGACACGGTATTTTCTGTTACCATAGGATTGAAAGTAACAGATGGAGTTGAAGGGGAAGTTATGGCGTTAGGAAGGGGGTAATTGAAATTTCTCAGAACTAATGTTATGTCATCACGTTTTGGCGAACAAGAATTGTTGAGGGAGTTTGACATGTACCAGTCGTGGTGAAACCTTACTGCTTTATCGACGACTGCTTGTGCTACTCCTGTTAAAGTTGCCTGTTCTCGAAACTAAAATAAAAACATTAATAATTCAATATATAAGGTGGACACTTTTCACAGGGATAGTATTCTAAACCACAAGTAGTACAAGGTAAGTGGACACGGACTATATTTTACCGCAATATATCTTTCATAAGCTCTATACAGATATAAACGAAAAATATAGAAGAGTCAGAAGTAGTGCAGATATGATTCATATCTACACCAATGGCTCAAGTTGTGGAATATATTCGTTTCTTAAACTTAAACATAAAATGGGCCATATGTAGTTCAAAAAGAGCTCAAATATAATTACAGATTTATTATTGTACATCTCTAATTTGTTGCACTAGGTATAAGTTTTCTTCACTAATAATAATAATAATAATAATAATAATAACGTTTATTCAGTAAGCCAATGGTATAAAACATAACAGCATTATAATGTAGCGGATATCAAGAATATAATAATAATGAAAAAGGAAAATGAATAATACAATAGAAACCTACCAAAATATGAACTTACTGAAAAGGACATATTGATCGTCAATCATACAAGATGAAAGAAGATGGTTTTCAATATATCCTGATGTAAAAAGCACAAAAAAAAAGAATTATAACAAAAGACAAACAAAATTATTAATTAAATAATAATAACTAACACCAATATCTAATTATAGTACCTATCTAACAATAATAATAATAATACTACAATAATTATTAATTGATGCGAAGCATCAATGAAAATATTTTTGATAAATCTTAAATTTTAAACGATACTTCCATGTCACCATTTAATATATAACATTTTATTTTACGCTTTAATGCACTTACAGATAAGTTTTTAAGTTCAGGGGGGAGAGAATTGATTGTTCTATAAAATATGTAAGTAAAAGAGCTTTCAAACATCTTAGTCTTGCGTTGCGGGATTGATACAAAATTTCTTCTACGGATATTAAGATTATGAACATCGCTTCTGAACCTTATCTTGTTATGTAAATATGACGGCGTTTTAAATAGTAAAATTTTTGAAATAGGCAGCAGGAATGCAAAAAACGAGCTTGACTTACTGTCAGCCATTTTAGTTCACTCCTTTTACGAGAAACCCGTTGATTTTTTTTTAATTTATAAATTAATCTAATGCAGGTATTTTGAATGCGCTGAAGACGCTGGTTATTGAATTGAGTAATGCATGGTCCATAGACTGAATCACAAAAGTTCAAGTGAGAAAATACAAGCGATTCACATAATAAGATTTTAGAACGATGATCCAGGGTGTGTCTTTATTGCCGTAAATCATTTTTATATTCGTTACACCATTTTTTTATTATATTATTAATGTGTTTTTCAAATCTAAGATCAGTATCAAGGAATACACCCAAGTTTTTTGCGATATGTGTATTAGGCAGTATTTCATTGTTAACTTTAATTTTAAGTTGATCATTGTAATTAATTCTATCTTTTTTCCTGCCAAACAGCATAACATGAGATTTAGAGGGATTTATATCTAAGCAATAGTCATTAGATAATTTAAAAAGTAAATTTAAATCAGAATTTACTTTGGCTATGCTTTCTTCAAATTTACAAGCAGGGAATGAAAGGTAAATGTGAGTATCATCCGCATATTGATGAAAATTGCAATACTTCAGTGAATCTGGGAATAAAGATGTATAGATGCAAAACAATAAAGGCCCCAAAATAGATCCTTGAGGGACTCCATTTTCTATTTCTAGTGAAGAAGATAATTTATCTTTATATTTAACATACTGCATTCTATTTTTAAGATAGTTATCTATAAGACATTTCGCATTTTCATTAAAACCTAGGTGGTGTAATAGCTACTAATCGCACTAGATTTGTTTAGTGTAGCTACAAATATTTGACACATACTTGAGTGTAACATATACTTTTGACAAGTATGACAGTTCCAATACAATGTCAAGTGTGACACTAATGCAACAAATAAAATCTATTATAAATATAATACATACGTTTTTTTGTGATTTGTTCCACTGTATGTTATGTTTTAACGAAAACAAACCATTGTCATTGAATTTGATTACACATTTTCAATTTTTGTTAAATTATGTTTGAATGTCATAACAAAGTGGTTTAAAAGTACCTATGTAATCAAATAATATAAATACTGTCCCTGAAATTGTCTGTGGAACACAAATTACATCACCACTATAAGTCTATTTTTATGTATGAGAGAGTATTAAAATAATAAAGCGTTCGTAATCCATAGGCGTATCACTTTTTTTAGTAGACAGTATATTTTTTGAAGTTATTCCTCGGGTATACACTTATATGTATATATCCTTATAACTTCTAAACAGCTGAAGGTAAAAAGGTGCAATATTTTCTAAAATGTTTTATTTTTCCACAAGGTATGTTAAGAACATTGTGTCAAACGGGTTATGTAGGTATAAGGGTTTAAACTTTGACTTTTAAACAACGTTACGTTCATAAATAATAATTTTAATATAAAAACTGCTTCTTACATACAAATCCAAATCAGAATCGAAATCAGAAGATGAACTGTCGCAACCAATATTTACAATGAGTGGCTCGATCATTTCATCAGTAATATTGTCCAACTTCCACATTTTCTCTTCTTCTTTAATCGTATGATTACTGCCTTTCCCAGTTTTCAGGCTTCACATTATTTACAGCCTCCAAAAACAACTGTTTAACATCACTCATTTTAAAAAAATTATTTTTCTTGAAACTTCTCCCTTTATCTGTGCCCATATCAGTTCAATCGGGTTTACTTCGCAATGATATGGTGGTGATCTAACCACCGTCATCCCACGATTTTTTGCAATTTCATCAATTTCATGTTTTTTGAATTTCTCTTTATGAAGGGAACACAAATGATACAGCTCTTTTCTCACAGAACTGGGATGGAACTTAATATTCTTTGAATGTAGCCAATTCTGTAAATCTTTTTTAACCACTTGGTTGTGCGCATTTTTTCTATAAGTTTCGAGGGATAACTTGCATTATCCATTACTATTATACAGTTCTGAGGAAGAAGATCTATAATTTGTTCGAACCACTCTTTAAAGACATCAGCATTCATGTCCTCATGGTAGTCACCGGTACGAGTAGATTCAAAAGTCAATAAACCACCTTTAACAAAACCGTTTGAACTACCGATGTGTATTATTACTAGTCTGCGCCCCTTTCCTGATGGTGGATTTAAACCAGTAGATAAATTATTTAAAAAAGCCTGTCTTCGACTTGTAACAGTTTCATCTTGCCAAAATTATTTGGTTTATGTCCCTCGTTGATCCATGTTTCATCTAAATCAAATATATTTCTTCTTTGGTTTCTCATTTATTTTATAGTCCTTAGGTAATTTCTTCTCCATACTACAATATCGCTTCTTTCTATTAAAATAGACTTTCTGGAATGCTTTTTTCCATAGAAAACCTATTTCTTTTAAAAGTTTCCATAGTGTGCTTCGACTCATTTCAGGGTAATCCTTATCATCTCGAACCGTGGCAAGAACTTTGTCTACTGTCGGAAATTCTTTTCTAAAGAAGAACGCATGCACTTTCCTTCGAAGTCTTTCTTTCAAAAGATTTTCTAATTGAAATTTTGGTTTTCCTGGAGCTTTACGTGTTGTTTGAAACTCGCTACATTTCTCTTCTTTAACAACTCTTTAAATCGTAGATTTCCCAACACCAAGCGTACTACTAACTAATTCCACTGTGTTATCAACACTTTTACATAAATGTTTGTCTGTAAATGATTAAAACAATAAAATATTAATGTTTTTTCATTAACTGTTAAAGGACCGATTTTTTGTCGTTTACGCGGCCCTTCCAAATTTTCCATGATCACACAAGAATTCACACTGCACCTTGCAAGTTGCAACTAAACGACATTTAGTAAACTGTCAAGAATACACAACTTGGCCCTCCTTACTAAATGGAAAACCTATAATCGCATTTTCGGTGAAATTTGTTGGGAAGGTATTTATCTACTTATAATTCGATTACTGTAAGAAATTATTGGAATTAAAATAAAACAAAATTGGCAAATAGGTACTTATTGAAAATAATCTTAAGATACGGCTATGTAATCTTTAATACACAGGGCTTTTGGCCTGTCCAAACCTTTTTTTATTGTTCTGTACGGCTTATGTTTATAAAGGACCAATAAAAGACCCAAAACTTGTAATAGCTCAGTATATTTATTACAATTTTAGGAATATTTAGATTATTCTGTAAAAATATTTTAAATGACCGTACTAAGTTTTGCATTAGAAATGCTGTTTTATTACTCTCTCATACATAAAAATAATAAATGATAATATATTTGCTATATTCTTTTTAATATAGACCAGTTATTTTGCATTATTGTGAAAAAATATAAGTACAAATTAATCAAAAAACATAAAATACCTGTTCGACAACACATTGAGCAATGTATTTATTCACTTGATCTGTACCAGTGGCGTCTTCTATTGATCTATAAAGTCCAGCAGACATTAGTAGTAAAAATCTAGATGATTCATCCAAAGTTATACCTCCATGTATATCTGGTTGTGCAATAATTGGTTCTTGAATAGCATTAGCTAAATCTTCAAAATCTTTGTAACCTCCTTTGACACTATAATTGCCCAAGCAACGGGTGTTTTCTTGATTACCCAATCGGGAACCTAAAAAAAATCAATATTTTTCTTATTCCACATAGGAAAGTGACATCTCACTGTCCAGAGATATAACTATTCATTGATAAAATATAATATTTACGATGCCAAGATTAATTCGACAATCGATACACTCTATTTGTAGTGACGCGGCGAGGAGACGAAAGGTGAGAAGTAAGAAAGGGGATAAAGAGAAGAATTTTACGCATATACAACTTATTTTTAGCAATGAATAAATGTGTAAGTTGCTCTGCGCTTATAATATACAACGTAAATATCCCTGCCGGTGTAAGCCAGGTTGCCACTTGCAACCTAACATGACTAGGTTTTGAAATTTATTGAAAATTATTACATATAATTTAGTTAAATTTAATATAACTAATGATTCAAAATTTTTTAGGTTTAGTTGCAATAAAATAGGTTGAATTATTTTAGCTTTTTTAATATATTTAAATAATTTTGTAAACAAAACGAGAATAATGAGATAGGCATATGACAACAGCGGATATTATACCCTCCTGTGTCCCTTAGAATATGTCGTCTGTACAATGCCAAAACCACGAATGTGCAAATTTTGAATTTTTCACCCAAGTCCTTTATCAGACGTTTAAACCTTAAAAGTTATCAATGCCAAAGTCAGGAATGTGCCTAGGTCCGATGTATATTTTCAGGAAGTAAGAATTTAGTAGTTGCTTCAGTTCCTGAGGCTCAAAAGACCACATTCTCAAAACTGAAAATTTTGCACATTCGTGATTTTGGCATGTCTTATTCAGGACCGCACGATATTTGTTAGTAGTTACATCTCCTGTTATCTTTGGTTCAGTCCTATAGAAAGTGTCCTATATTACTGGTGAGTGGATAAGAATTTAATCTGTGATCCACAAAAAAGTTTATTAAGTAAGCCATGACCAAAAAAGAGATACGAGTCATGCAATAATTACACTTAGACATGCGTTATTTTTTCCAGAAAAGTAAAATTTAATAAAAACTATTTAGTACTGGACTAGAAATATTTAATTCAGATAAACATGTCACCTTCTTTTTAAATAGGTTTTTAATTATTAAGTACTGTTGTACCACCCTGTATAGAGTTTAACTTATATCATTAAAAGCATTTTTACTATTTTACTAGTTTTCCAATGATGTATGACAAGTAGGGGGTAATTTTCTTGATGAAGTAGATGGTTCATAAGGGGTTGAAGGGTTGTTCTTGAAAACATTTTAAGCATTTGCTGATATCATAATTACAAGTTTTTAAACAAACTGTCAACTCATATAATACGTAGAATATTTTAAGAAAATAAATAGAACTGTACATAGATGCAATATAGGCACCATGAGAATTAAAGATTATAAAACTAAAATAATGGGTCAGTGGAAATGGAGGGCTTAAATATTATATTATACAAATCTAATACAGAATGAGAAAATAAATTTTTACAATAAGAAAATTTTAACATCAGACAATAAAAAGAAAACTGCTTGGAATATCGTAAACTTTGAATTGGACAAAGCTAAAACAAAAAATAATTTTTCTGAAGGTATCAGTATTGAGGGCCAGATAGTCTCTTCACCAACTACAATTGCTAATTATTTTAATGATTTCTTTGTCTTAGCAGCTACAAATTTATTAAGAGGTGTGTCCAATAAAGTTAATTTAAACTATGTTGATGACTTGAAAAATAAACACTCAACAGGTGTTGTTAATCAGTAATGTGATGTTAAAATACATCAGCATCCATATAATACATCCACTATGCTACATCTTCAATGAGTCCTTTAATTCTGGTAGTTTTCCAATGAGATTAAAGACTGCTGTTGTAATACCTATTCACAAAAAAGGCGATCCTTCCTTAGTAGAAAATTATAAACAAGTTAGTCTTTTATCTTGTTTTGGGAAATATTGTTCACGGAGTTTCCCTAGATTTAACAAAGGCTTTTGATTGTGTGAATCACCATATATTTCTTAATAAATTATACAAAATGGGGGTTTGTTTTAAATATGACAATAGCGAATATTACTCTGAATAAAAAAAAATCAAAGAGCAGGTCCTACCCTGAGCGCGTAGCGCAATAGTCCTCAAAACAGATGCGATTTGCAATTTTGTCGATTCTAAGTGGACCGTACCGGTTTATAATTTTTAATTATTTTTAATTTAAATATTTTGGAAAAATGAAATCTGCGCATCGGTCTCAAATTATGGGAACTGCCACCCCTACAAATTTGGACGCCAAGTTCGGAAACACCCTGTATAGCAGACCACCTTCACAACACAAGGTTTAGAAATAATTTTTGTCTACCGATACAGAGAACTACAATACTGGAAAAGGGATGCTGTTACAAATATTTGCAATTTTATAATATGCTTCCTGATCTTTTAAAAAATACTAAGAGTCTATCAGCTTTCAAAAATAAGGTCAAACAAATTTTGATTTCTATTGAGCCTTACAGCTTAGATGATGTAACTGAAGTGATTGTAAGTAATTATTATTTGTAAATACTTTGTGAAATCAACAGAAATCTATTCTAGTTTTCAATGGTAATATGGGTTTTGCAAGGTTTTCCCACATTTCTTATCAAATGCACCACTATATTCATTTCTAAATCACTCCAGTGTGCACTTTGTAGGTCATCAAACTAGTACAGATTATCCTAGCTTCGACTTATACCATACAATTTTATATGTATTTTTTTCTGTATAATATTGTTCCTGGCATTAATAAATATTATTATTATTATTATAAATCAAATTAATTATCTATAAAAAACCTCAGCATTACAAGATTGACGCGGCATACACAGAATGATGTCATGTCACAGGGCTACACTTTTCTTAACCAATCATCAACATGTATTCTCTTATCATATCAAGAATACGTTTTAATAATTGGTTAAAACAAGTGTAGTCATTGTTCTATGTATGCTGCGTGAATCACACAGTGATATGACAACAGCTAGATCATTATGTACATATTAAAAAAAAATACAAACTAACTTTTTCTCAAATTATTTGCATTAATACCAAGCTGCGACAGTCTCAGCAACTCATCTTCATTCTTTAAATCATGATCGACACTTAATTGGACTACTTTTAAAACAGAATTTGGGTCTGTTTGACAAAGCAATACTCTACAGTTTCCAACATTAGCCACATACAGTTTATTATCGTAAATCAAAGCCACAGCAGCTGCAGTACCAGAAGACAATTCGTTATTGAGTTTATTTATAGATTGAACAATGTGTGGTACTTTCTGATAAGCTTCGTACTGAGTAAGTCCATCTGGTATATCATACAAAAGGCTCGTTCTTTCAGCTAACAGATCTTCTATGCTTTGCATGTATCCTTTTTCGACGGTCACAAAAGCTTGGTTTAGAAATTCCTTGACTTCTTCATCTGATTTATTGTCCATTAACTTTGAGAAGTAAATCTCTGCAGTCATTCTTTGGCAGCAAAAATCTGCTGCTCTTTTACCTTCATGTCCATCAAAAACAGCGTACCAATAAAAGGAATCGTTAAATTTAAAGTGGCAGCTACAATCTTCGTAGCCGTGCTCTTCTTGAGGATTGCCATCTTCTCGGTATATTTGGTTGGTTGAAAAACCTATCCCTGTATTTTTACAAACGGGTAAATCGTCGGTCCAATTTTGCGTAGTTGATTGTGGTGATTTTAAAGAACCCATTTTTAGTCAATGTTAATTAAAATTATTATTATTATGCATTTTTAAATAAATGAAAAAATGGAACAAACAGAAAATGTAAACAAGATAACATAACCTAAAACCTAAATGAAAATTGTCAAACAAATCGTCTTTTTTTTTAGATGCCTGCGATTATAAGATAATCTAGTATATTAGGCCCTCCGAGCAATTACTACTAGAGGGAGAGTAAAACGAGTTTGTAGGCGATTGTTGTGTTCGCAACATCTGTAGAGGAAGCGCTGGCACAAAGGGGAAGTTAAACATCCTTCTTGTTCAGTGGCGTATCATTTTTCTGTAAGAACATACATTTGCCGCGTTTGAGAATCCACATCGGATGCATCTGAGATGTAGTAAATCTTTGATCACGTGATGCAGTATACGTAAATGTAATGGGACAGGTGTGTCCGATGTGGATAAAAAAACGCTCGAGATGTAAAAATGCATCCGATGTGGATTCTCAAACGCGGCAATTGTCCAAACTTTTTAATTGTAACAAAAAACTTAAAAATTTGCTAATTTTACTATTTTTAAAATGTATACCGTCTTATATATATCCGATGCAAGAAATGAAACAAAAATACTGCAAAGGTCTATTTTTTCAATTAAAAGATAAAACCTGAAAATCAATTTTATTTTAAATAAATACAAGAGCTACTAGTGTCGGCCTTACAGGGACATCTTCAGGCCTGTAATACAATAATCCTTAATTATTATAATAGGTTGGTCACTTACGATTAAAATTATATAGTATAAACCACAAAAATGGATGCATATTATAGCGTTACAGCATTTTAGAATTAAAGCTGTGAAAATAAAAGAGCAGTGCAAACGTAACTAAAAATAAGAAAAATGCGTAAGGAATCCACAAGAGAAGAGGTGAGAATGAGCATTTACGAATGCATTTAAATTGTTCGGGATAACAAAAAAATAAAGCAGCTGATAATGTAAAGTAGTGGTATAGTTCTCGTCAAAGAAGGTCCGGATATGTGAAAGAGGACGGCGTTTTCTCTGTAAATCTGGAGAATATAAGGATGGAAGGAAGACGAATCCTGCTGGCTAAGGTGTAGATGGCTAGAAAAAGGAGCGTATAGATGAAAGTTTCCGGTAAATATCGTCACTTTCGTTTCGGCTTTATCTTCGAAATTCATTTTCAAAAGGAAATAAAGGTAATCATTATATAATAAAACAACATGAATTCATTATATTTAATAAGCTAATAAACGTTTGGTTCAATGAAAAAAACATATGTGAATATAAAAAAAAATAGAAATATATAAGATTAACATCAAAATCAATTTCAAAATACAACAAACAGAGATTAAATAAAATAAATTAATACAAATAGAAAGTTAATAACATACCTTCTCCCCTTCAGGGGAAGAAAATATTAAAGAAAAAGAAAAGTTATTCAGGTGGTCATTTGTTGAATTCCTAAATTTTGGAACCATGTATTTTTTTTATCATATCAAGAAAAGGAAACCTAAAAAAAATAACAATAAACTTTACAATAATAATAAATTAACCTTTACTATAATCATTATGAGACGAATGAAGACGAACTTAGCTGGGTTTACTTGCTCTTAATTTTACTTTTTAGTTAAGAAAATAAGAAAGTTTAATTGCAAATTAAAGATGATTGCCTAATGCGCCGCCTCTGATAATTAGGTTGTATGATCTGTACTTACTTTATTTTGAAGAAGTATTTTCAACAGGCCTTTTACACATAAAGCATGTTTTCACCTTATTATTAGGGATAATAAATCTTAAATATACATTTACAGCCCTTACAGCGCTATAAATAATTATATTTTCTTTAAAATACAAGTAAAAAATTGACTTGTCAGAACTGACGCTGTCAAACTTGACAATGCTGATTAAATGAGCCAATTACAGGAGAGGGATTTCTCCCCTCGGGGAGAGATGTTGCTAACAAATTTAGCGTGGGGAAGACTCCCTCTAGTAGTAATTGCTCGGAGTTCAGGCCTTTGTCCATAGAAAAATTTGTTGCCTATGTTGCCAACTTGTGGGAATTTTCACATATTTATGGAAATGTTTACTGCAAAAAATATGGAAATGGGAAAAAACATAAAAATGAACTGAAAATGTGGTAATTCGGCTCTTTCAATACCTATTAGATTATCAGAACGATATTACTTAAAAAAATTAAATCAAAACTAATATTTTTTTCTTTTTAATTTAACTCAATTTTATAAATTACAATAAAAAAATAGAAGTAAAAGTATTATTTGATAAATTAATAACATGTGTAAACCTTAACAATATTAATTAAATTATGAAATAAATATCATTTATTCTTTGTTAGTTTTTTCTTAGCTTTTTCATACGCTTTCTCAATGACCTCAACATTCGAATCATATCGTTGCATTTTGAATAAAATATTATCACGGCTTTTCTTATTAACAGTCTCGATCTTTAAACAACTGTTGATCAATTTTTGTGACCACAACTTCCATTTTTCACCTTCCGTTTTATTTTTATTTTCCAAATCTTCAATCAACTTTCTGAAATTATCTTCTCGAAATTTGGAATATTTTTTAAATTCAGCGAATTGATTTTGTAATGTATTGATATTTTTTATTAGATCTTCTCTGTCAGTCTCAAATTCTTCGATTCGTTTTCTACATTCATTCGAAATCACAGATAAATGTTCTCTAAATTTAGATTCTTGATTTTTTAATTTATGGATTTTTTCTTTACATAAAGCATTGCTAGAGTTGCATGCCTTTTGGTATGTTTCTTCTATTTCTATTAGTTTATCGAAGTATTCTTTTTGAATTTCTTCTCTTATCTTTAATTCTAAAGATATCATATTTGCTTCGTTGTCTCGATTGAGTTCTTCGACAGCTTTCAGTTCAGCATCTAAATTTCTTCTTATTTTTTTATCACTAAGAGGTTCTTTATTATTTTGTAAACTATTTTTACATGAACATTCTTTTTCGACAATCTCAATAGATTTTGTATTTAATTTCTCAGTTAAGTCTGCAACATTTTTTTGGTGTGTGTTGATGATTTGGTCTTTACTTTGTAAATCTTCTGTAGCTTGATCTAATTGTTTCTCGAGCTTTGATAGATATTTATCTACAGTTTCTAATTTATATTTAGCATCTTTAGCTTCAAATTCAAATGTACATCTATCTCCTTCAGCTATAGTTTTGAGATTCCTTAATTCATCTACAGTTTCTTGTAGCTTTTTCACCTCATTTCGAGCATCACGAAGAGCTTGTATAGATTCTAAATACTGTTTTTTTACAGATGCATCTTCAAATCCAATGTTAAGCTGAGATTGAAGTTTACTATTTTCATTTGATAATTCTTGAATGTGTTGTTTTAAATTTGTAATTTCATTCAAAGATATACTTAATTCATTGTGTAATTTCTTTATTTCGTTTTCAAAGTTGTTTCTATCTTTTTCAGAAATTAATTTTAATGCTTCTAGTTCTTCTTTGTGTTCCTTTTCTTTATTTTTATCTTCCTGAGCTAAATGCAATCGTTGTTCTTCTGAATGTTTCAGTTTTTCTTGTAATTCTGTTATGTGACGTTCGGACGTCTTGAGATCTTGGGCCATTTTGTCTAGCTGAGGTAAACTGTATTTTGCAGAAAATTTTTGGATGTCATTTCTGGTTTGGGAAAGAGTTTCCTCCATTTTTGCCAACAGATCTTTATTGGTGGAATTTAAATTTAGAATTTGTTGATTCTTGTCTTCAATAATTCGTCTATAATTTTGTAGATCGTTCTGCATGAGTAATAAATTTTTAGTATGGTCTTCATTTTCGCATTGCTGAAATTCCTTTTGATAGGTATCGCTTTTTAATTTTCTATATTCCAACAATTCTTTCAAGTTTGCTTCATAATTATTTAATTTTACACCTAGAGTATTTATTTGGACAGATTTATCGACTAACATTTTTTTTAACTTGTCAACATGGCTTACTAAACTATTGATATCTAGTGAATTTCTTTTACCAGGTGAATGGTTATAAACATTATTTACTCTATTTTGTAAATGATTATTTTCATTAGATAACGTTTCTATAACATCTATCAAATTTTCACATTGCTTTTGGGCATCTTCAAAATTTCTTGTTAATGTTTCTATTAATTTAGAGTTATCACTATTTGATTCAATTACTTTATTCAGTTCCTCTTTAAGAGCTTGATTTTCTCTTTCACTATGTTTAGCAAGTCTAGTTTTTTCCTCAAGTAAATTTTCTAACCTATCAATCTGTTCTTTATGAGCAGTTTTTAGCTCTTCAGAATTAAAATGTTTATTAGAATTTGCAAAAGGGTTTCTATCACCTTGCATTTGTCGATGTATATCTTCTATCGTAGATTTATATGTAGCCACTTCTAAATGTAAGTTTTCCGTATCCTTCCTATACAGTTCAATTTGCTTTTCTTTACTTTCTAAAATGGAAGTTAACTCTTTTATACTCTCTACTTTTTCTACTAACAATTCTTCACTGTTTTTATATGACACTTTAATCTGTTCTAATTCGGCTTCAGTTAAAGTCAATTTCTTTTTTAAATCGTTTATTTGCTTCGTCTTATTTTCTACTACATTTTTGTATTCTTCCCTCAAGGCTTGTAATTCTCGCCCTCTTACTTCATATAACACTTTAATCTGGTCGTTGGCATTTTCTGCTGTAAGGTACTCGTTTCTGGCATCATCAATTGAAATAGTGGATATTATAGAGGAGTTTATAGTACTTTCATCATAGTTGAAATCATCTAATTTCGTCATAAGTAAATTTTGAAGTTCTTCATTTCTACGCTTCTGATCTTCCAAATCTTCTTCCTCTTCCTCGTTTCTTGATTTATTTATACTTATATTTGTTCCTTGAAAAATACTTGCACCAGGAGTCTCCATTTTAATATACTGATAAAATTAATTGATTACCGATTACTCTTCATCATATACCCTACCTAAAATATAATATAAACTTGCAAACTGTTATATTTTAATTGAATATTCAACATTACTTACATTACAATTTCAAATTATTTCACCAGTGTACCTATTTAAAATTCAAGACATCAAAACATTTATGAACACAAAACGCATAAACGCAAGCGCAAGAGATGCAAATATATTAATTGTCAAACGATTGGTAGGAGCTACGAATCCGACTTACGGATGTCTAGTTTTTAATTTCCTTCTGTGCTACGTTTAAAATGTACGTCCTCGAGCAGATTTTTTAGTAACGTGACATCAAGCAAACAATATCAATAAAAAAAACAGAGTTTGGATGTATTAAAATAACGGTAATCAGTAAAAAAGAAAGACGAGGGACTTTTCAAACGTGGCAATATTAGAATTATTAGAAAAAACCTGTGTACAAGTATATTTTTTGTAGTTAATTTTTAAAATGGTTTATTTTCCACTTTATGATAGTTAAAAGACTTTTTCAAGTTCTTCAATAATATATGTAGTAAACTATATGAGAAGTAGAATTGACCATCAGTGAACCCAGACAGCACACCAAATCCCAAAGATATCTACAAAATATCTTTTGTGGATATCCAAATATATCCACAGGATATCAGAAATATTCCGTGGATCTAATATGGATATCCAAATGTCCGTCTATATCCAGAATATAGAAGATATCCTAATGGATATTCAGCAAAATATCTAATGGGTATCTTCCAGAAAATACAAGAAATCCCAGAGATATCCACAGAATATATTTTGTGGATATTCAATATATCCAATATGGATATCCAACCAAATGTCCGTCTATATCCCAGGATATAGAAGATATTCGAATATTCAATAACGTCGAAAGAAAATAGCAGAGTTAAAAAATATTTTCAACACTCATAATATTTTCAACACTCTGCCTTTGATTTTGCCCATCCTTATTGGGACTCTTCAGCAATAAATGAAAATTCTCGACTCCAGTCTCTAATGGAATGATTAGGACACAAATTTCGATCGAACTCAATTACGCCGGGTCGAGCATGAGTAGATGCGATAGTGGTATCGCCATCTATACTTAGTAAGCAGAATCAAATAACATCTAGTAGATATTCACGAATGGTTTGCGTTCGCGCTTAGACTTTGATATATTTAGTGGATGTTCATGGGATATTGAATACACCTTAAAAAAATTAATTTTAAATATCTGAACGGTACTATTTGCCACAATGGCGAGCACAATGGCGTAATTTTTTAATAATTTGCTATATAATTACTATTATTTATGGACATTTGCATGTCTATAAATTACATTTAATGGATATAAAATAGATATCTATTATGGACTGGACATTCAGTGGATATTGGGATGTTCAGTAGATATCCAAAGGATTTGGTGTGCTGTCTGGGTTTTGGCTGTAATATCGCAAGGTAAAAGCAGATGCAGCTTCTTTCAAATGTCCATGCAGTCAACACGTTTCTTTTTCTTTTTCTTTCAAGTCCATTTGATTTTTAATAAGAACATTTTTATTGGCCTTTAGTATTTTGTTTTATTTGAATAGTCTTCTTTGAATAGTTTTCTTTTATAATCATTGCCGATAAAATGGACAGAACAAACCTGGCTTGTTGTGGGATTCCATTTATCGGCTCTACAGCACTTACGAATCCACTCTTGTTTTACTTCGTTTGAAACAAAATGTTTCCCCAATGGAATATAATGATAAATTATATCTGGGTTGTCTAATTTTGTTTTCATACTGCAATTGTTACAATTACACATTACCCTAAAAAAATAACACTATATAATTAGTTAAAAACAAACATTTTTACCATTGTAGAACTTACCTATAATAAAACTAAGTTGATTTGCCAAAATAATCTTTATAAAAACACTTTAAATAAGTCAAGTCAATTAAAAAGTTACAAAACACAATCCAAAGAATACTAAAAACTATGTACAAACGTATAAACAACAGGAATTTATAAATATCTGGTCCGGCAATGACGTAACACGTGAAACGTACATAGTATATGGGAGATTGGCCAATCCTAATAGAAAAGTTAAATATCCTTGGTCTGCCGTCCTCTAAATTTAATTTTGTGGTTGGCGGAGCATTATACACATCCTCTCTTGCAGCTGTCACTAATGTCACTTCTATAAATTACTGTCGCTTTAAAAACGGAAAACAAATTATCAGTAGCGCAATAACTGTGGACTGTTTTCTGTTTATTTAGGCAGTCGGTTAGCATACAGTCGTCTAATACGTCAGTTTTTACTGTTTTTAGTTGATTGGATGGTTAAGTTTTTAATAACGGATTTTTTCTGTGAAAACCTATACAATTTTAATAATTTTTCTTGAACAATTTAATACAATAGTGCAGAAATGGCAGTTTCGGTAAGAGGAATATCTCATCGCTTAGGACACCTTAGTGGCGTTTTATCTACAGTTAAAACATCCCCTAGAACATATTTTACTTATACTAATGAGCCCTCTCAACCAATTAAGGGCAAGGAACCCAAATGGACAACTGCTCAAGAGGCTTTTCAAGACTTGAAGTCAGGTAATTTATTTTTAATTAACTAATCTGGTGTCCTTGATCAATTTATAAGAATCGTACTTTGACCAGTAATCGTAGAAAATATATCAATAAAATGCAAGTGATCACATAAAAATATAAATTTCAGACTTACAAAGTAATAATGGGGATGGGATTTACACATTTTAGTGGACTATTAAAAAATACACTTTCAAGTTACTATATATAATAATCTTTAAAATATTACATCCAGTAAATAAACATGAATTTTAGTACATAATAATTTAGTAGATGTACATTTATAATACCACTTTTGTTTTTTTTTGTATCAGATCATTTAAATACAGGGTGTCCCAATGAAAAGTAGCCCATTTCCATTTGATAAAATTTGGTTACAGTGAATTTAAAAGAGGAGATTTTTAAAAAACACCCTGTATAGGTAATACATAATTTCTGTGTTACTGAAGCAAAACTTATAGCAAAATAACACATATCAGCAAAAACCCCACGTTTCTAGGATTTGTTTAAAAGTTTTAAGCTCTGGAAATGGGCTACTTTTGACTGGGACACCCTACCATGTATTGTATTATTAAAGGCTGTTTAAATATTTAATTTTTTTATAAAGGTATTTTGTATTAAATGCATTAAAGTATCATATTATTTTGGTTGCAATAACTAAACAAGGCATTTTTTTAGAAAGATAAATAATGCATTAATTTTTATTAAAGTTCTTTATAATTTATTCTTACTTGATTTGATAAGAAAAAAAATTCTACAATTAATTACCTATGGGTCCCCTGGAAACCCTATATTTTTAAAAACATGTTTTTTTGGTTCCTAGGACTCTGTATAATCTTATACCATTAGCATAATGTATTTCACTAAAATTAGCATTTTTTTGTTTATTCAGTTTGGTATTAACAGTTTTCCAAACAATTTTTTGTTTTTGTTGCATATTTTTGTTTGATAAATTTTCTTGAAAAAATTGCTTTTTGCATTTATTAATTTTTTATGCATACCTACCTCTTTTTTTTCATTTTGTATCATTCCTGTATATAACTATCAGAAACATGTTTTGTGTGCTAGCCAATACATACCTATTTTTTAAATTATTTCCCATTTTAACAATCTCATTATTTACCCGTTTTGTATTATGTCTGTTTTTAAAGTAATTTTTATTTACCATTGGACAAGTCTGATTTAGGTACATGGTAGGAAATTATGTTCAAAAATGTATTATAAATTTCATTAATATCCATGGAGCTTCAAAAACAAGTGAGAAATCTTCCTGTGACATTTTCAAGGATAGACTACATACATTTGCATATTATTATGAAGTACCTATTTCTAAATGAAACAGTTTTCATGGTATTTTCTTTTTGAAAATGCGTAGAGTGATTTACCCTTATAGTAAGCCTATAGTGATCACCTAAATAAAAGTCTTGTACCTACTATTTCTTTGCAATCCTAACTACAATTTGTTAGAAAATAATCTATTTTTGATTTAGAAATTTTTGTCAAGTGACTCTCTGGTCGGTTCTATATTTTGACATTGTAAATTAAAACTCTCCATTAGATCCATTAACATCTTTTTTTCAGGACTTTCATTTAAAAAATTATATTAAAATCTCCACATAGGTACCATTACAGTATCATAAGAATTGTACAGAACAGTTAAAATGTCACACATTTTATGTAAAAATAATTCAGTGGAACTGTTAGGCTATTATTATATTATTTAGGCTAAATATAATTCCACAACATTCAAACAGACACTCTTCACAGAATCTTTTAATAAAAATTAGTTTTTTAAAATTTAAGGAATTTTTGACAAAAATAACAGTTCCTCCATGTATTTTAGTTTTGCCTTAATATCCATCAGCAACAATAGAATCTTTAAAAACTATATTCTTTATCGATTCTTCATTACACTATGATTCTGATACACAAAGTATTTCTGGACTTTCAAATTCTAAATCTAATTTATGTAATAATATAATTTATAATTTAGTTGTTTGCAACTTTAAAATGTTATACTTAATAATAATTGTGATTGTAATTTGTAAATTGTAATAGTTATTGGATAAATATTGGAAATGCTCGTGGAAATATATATTAATAAATTAAAAAAAAAAAAAACTAAAATAAGTCAGCTAAACTTGACCTGTGAGACCCACATCTCTTTTATTTTTGTTTTTTTTTTTGAGAAAGTTATTTGAAAAAATTATTTGCAAAAGTGATTTAAAAAAGTGATTTGAAAAGGTTATATGAAAAAGTTGATCATTTTAATATCTTATAGATACAGGTAGAAAAAGAAGTAGGTATCAATTTTAAAATAAAAAACAAGAATGACAACTTTTAAAGGCAATATACCATCTAAACACTATTAATAAACACTTAATTCAAATCGTAATGTCAATGAGGTTTCTATTCATATTGTATACATATTTTAATTATCATATTCTGTATTTAAAATAAGAATATCAAAATAAAAACTAGATACTGTTACTTAAAATATTTTGAATTAAAATTAATCACTGTCACATTGTTTGTTGATAAATTAACAGTTCAAAGTACAAAACAACCAATTGTATCCTATAAAAATAATATAAAATATAAATAACTGTCGAGAACTGTCTTAGTTATAAAAATTAACCAAAGTAAACATTTGATATTTTTATGAATTGTAAAAGTAAAGATATATGTACATTTTTCAGTGTCAATAGATCTATACTTTAAGCTTATCTATAAATAATTTAAAAAGCGTATATTTCATTTTGCACAAAAACAATGTGGATTTCATTTAAATCTAATTAGTGAATTCTGGGTCATAAATAATTAATAGTAGGGTCAAATCTAATTAGTGAATTTTGTCTCATAAATAATTAATAGTAGTGCCCAATTACAAATAAGAAGAACACAGCTACATCATCATTTGGCAAACTAATTAATTGGGTATCGTCGCCTACTGGGGGTTTACTGGGGTGTTAATATCATAAGAATATATGAAATATTTTTTTCTACTTAAGAAGAAAATTTAAATTACAAACTGAAAGACCTGCGAGGCAACAGTAGTTTAGTAGGTATAAAAATTACAACTTAAGAGTGGAGCCTAAATACTACAGATAATATTAATATTTAAAGGTTAAATAAGGGCTTGAAGATATTCCTTTTATTGACCATAATACTTTTTTTGAAATTTTACCTCAATTTTCGTGCTAAATATTGGTTTTTGTAATTTTGATAAAGTAATGTTTATCCGCGAAATCGCGCCATCTTAAAGACCTAAAAAACGTATTTGGAGGTCTTGCTATGTAATGATTTATTATTTTTTTGAATTATAATAATGTATTGAATTATTCATACTAAAAATTATACCTGGATTTTCGTGCTAAATATTGGTTTTTGTTATTTTGATAAAGTAAGGTTTTTCCGCGGAACCGCGCTTTTCAAAAGACCTAAAAAACGTATTTACAGGTCTTGCTATGTAACGATTTATTATTTTTTTGAAATATACTAATGTATGGAGTCATTCATACTAAAAATTTTACCTGAATTTCGTGCTAAATATGGGTTTTTGTCATTTTGATAAAGTAAGGTTTATCCGCAAAATCGCGCCCTTTTAAACACCTGAAAAACGTATTTGGAGGTCTTGCTATGTAATGATTTATTGTGTTTTTGAATGATACTAATGTATTGAATCATTCGTATTAAAAATTATATCTGGAATTTTGTGATAAATATTGGCTTTTGATATTTTGGTAAAATAATATTTTTTCCGCGAAACCGCGCATTTTTAAAGACCTAAAAAATGTAATTAGAGTTCTTGCTATTTAATGATTTTTTATTTATTTTATAGCTGGTGGTGTACTAAATTATTATCATAAAAATTGTATTTGTAAGCTCGTGCTAAATGTGTTTTTTTTGGTCTCTTAGTTCTTATAGTCGTTTGACGACAAAACACCTGACTTAAAAAAGATCAAAAAAATATATTTTATATCATTGCTCGGCCATAATTTTTTGTTTAATCAATTAACAAAAACCTAATGAATATTTGGTATAAAAATTATATTTATAATCGCATTGTAAATGTGTTTGTTTCGTCCCTGTCTTTGTGTAAGATTATCTTATTTTAACTAATAATTTAAATTGAATTAATCCATTTTTTTCAATAAAGACACTAATATTTATTTATTTCTAAACTTTCATGATAATAAAGTCCACCTAAACCAAAGATTTTGCCGAATAACAACATCAAAACATTTGGGGACCGCCGCGCGGGTTGTCTGCTAGCTTCAGCTTCATATACTTTTATATACTTAGGTATATATTATACTTTTCATTATATATTTTTTCCTTATATTTTTTTTAACAAGGTTTTTGTGGAAAAACAAATTTGCTGAACTTGCGCCTTTTAACCATGTAAATATGTTCTTGTGTATATATTTATTTTTTATTTTTTTTATGAACTTTTTATTGTTTAATAAAGACATTTATTATTATAAAAACGTGGTTCACTAGTTAACATAGTTGGTATAATAATTATACAGGGTGGCTCACGCTCAACGGGACGGAGCTTTATGGGAAAACGACCAAAGATATAAAAAATTCGTTTGGGAGGAATACGTAGGTTACAGACGGCTACAATTTAAAATTTGTTAGATGTATACAGGATGTTCCGCATAAGAGAAAATATACAAAGTTATATTATTTTTAATGGAACACCCTGTTTTTTATTTTAGAATTAAAAACTACATCAAAAATAATGTCAGTTAACTAAAGGTTCCCTATTACTATTATTATTAGTTTTCGATTTATTTGAATTTTTAAGGAAAAAAAGTCTCCCAGAAATTAATTGTTTGCTCTTGTTTGAATAATTTTTAATGAACTCATTTTTTTATCTTATGTGGGACATCCTGTATACATCTAACAAATTTTAAATTGTAGCCGTCTGTAACCTACGTATTCCTCCCAAACGAATTTTTTTATATCTTTGGTCGTTTTCCCATAAAACTCCGTCCCGT